TAGTTCACACTTCAAAAGCAGATACTGCAACTTTCCGTCACCAGTTCGTCAATGCAGGACCAAAATCCACCGTAATGAAACACCACATAGCAAAAGAAATGTATTAATAAAAAAAAATTGACAAAGAACGAATTCATCGAAATGAGGTCACGGACTCACAAGATTATGAGATCCGAATTGCAACCACCTGCAGAGTTTGTGGAATAGGAGCTCGGAAACTCCCGGCTTCATAACTGAATCAGCCAAAAACAGAGCAAGAGTGGGAGGCGTCAAGTGAGAGGGACGTGAGCAACTCAAGTGAGAGGGTGGTGTCTGATAGTCGAGCGAGAGAGTGAGTGACAGAGCTATGAGTCATGATTGAGAGTTAAGCAAGAGAGTGAGTGAGAGAGCTGTGAGTCATGATTGAGAGTCGAGCAAGACAATGGCTGAGGCGTGAAGAATGCGAGCGCAAGAGGCTTGTGAAGGATTAGGATTTGCGAAGTATTAGGGTGAACGTGACTTACTTAGGGTTTGTGAAAGATTAGGTCTTCTTACAGATTTGTACGAAATTAGAAAAGAAATCGATACAATCCTATTGAACGGTTCCACACACGGAATCGGGAACCGGATAAAAAATCACCAGTTCCAATTTGTTGGAACAAAGTACCGGACTGGTGCCCTCGGAAACCACCTAGAACCGGCCAGTTCGGTTTTGGACTGGTCCGAGCGACCTTTTGCTCACCCCTAGGAAGAAAAATTATTGGACCCACCAAAAGGATGCTTAGGGCCATCATAGATTCGATTGGTAATCATAAACCATTCAAGTTTAGGTAGTTCTTGCCGGGGTTTGCTTGAACTTTCGAACGTGTCAAATGGTCCCCCCACATCCCACAAGCAGCCATAACCATTATCAAGCGATCATGTCGTTCCAAAGGGCAATTAAAATATGTTTCTGAAGCACCCATTGACTTAATAATGGCAATGTAACTTCCAAAACATAAGATTTAAGACCGCAATTTATGACGTGAAAAGGGGCCAATGATTGACAAAAGGACTCATAAGATTGCGTGAGCTCGGTTAAAGTTTGGTCAAAATTTGTCCAAAAGGTTAGATAAGCTCTCAATTTCCAGCCGATCTCTAAAATACTAAATTACTTTTGTAATGCCTTTGTCATTACGGCTCTCCTCTTGGTTTTGTGTAATGTTAGGGCGTGGGTGGTGAGACGGTCAGGTGACCCTTTCTGTCCACTTCACTCACCAAACGTTAAAGTTAAGCAAACCCCCCTTCAGACAAGGGAACGTGTGTGCATTTACAGGTTTATCCTTTGCCCTTGCTATTTATTACGAAATGAACAATTGAATTGAATTTTTATGTTGAGAAAATTGAACAAGTTTTTTTTTTTTTTGGTAAGGTGAAAATTGAACAAGTTATGAACTCAAGAGATGAAAAAAAAAAAAAGAGACCAGGGTTAACTTTTTTTTTCCTTTTCTTGCTCTTTCTTGAATTCTTTGTTATTATTGAGGTGACAAAGATTTTTGATATATTGAAACCTAAGATTACATCATCGAATAAACAATCATATATTATGACACAAAGTGCTCTGCTTTTTCTGTTTTTGAATCTACTATAAATTTGTGTGGATGAAAATGTAAATTTGAAAAAGTTTCATAATAGGAAAATCAAATAAGCACCTTGCCAAAACCTAATTTCATCAATTTAATTTCTCCTTTTTTAAAAATCTTTTCACTATGCTTGGAACTTATCTGATCTAGGAACAGTTCAGTTTCGGTACATGCCAAACATCAATTAGATTCTTTTTGTACTTAGATTCCAAATAGAATAAATTATGCGCGTGCTTATATTCTAGTTCTCTTGTGTGCATAGTACACATAATAAAATACGAGTAGCTTAGGATATTGTGACGATACTTTGAAAGATCCCAATCGTTATCATCTCCGGCACCCCGTAAAGTTGCATAAACATTTCCATTCGACATAAGCTACTTATTAAAAGGAGAAATAATTGGACCATAGTTTGCGTGCAATAGTTACTCTCCAAAACCTCCTTTGGCATATTCAATTTTAGCTGAAAAGTAGACCCGTCAAACGGGTAGCTCGGGTCGAAAATAATCCGACCCAAATCAACCCATTTCCATGCAATACAGATCTAGTGATCCATGTCAAATCAGATCCATATTGATAAAACACTTCTATATTTATCCCAATCTAGAGAAACTTATATCAAAATTGAGGTAAGAGCATGTAATGAGCAAGCACGAGATTTAAAAAAAGGCGATAGAGTGAAGAGAGATTTATAGAGGTGGATTGGGTCTAAGTGAGTAAATTGTAAACCCATTTTATGCTCATAATATTTTGTATTTTACCATTCTAAATCTATTTATAACCTATCTAGCTAAAAGACAACATGTTTGACATACGTTTCGTTCTTTTGTCTTCCTAAGGCCAGGTTGGATTCCCAAGTCGTTATACTTATCCAATTTCATAGGTACTAGAAAAATTGTCCGATTTAGAACCTAAAATACTAGAGATCGAGGGAGTTGACACAGCTCACCAAACTCCCCCTAATCGACGGGCTAATTAAAAAAAAAAAGAAGCACAAACTTTAGGTCGAGTGACAATTCTAGCCCTAACTTTTTTTTGTCTCATAAAAAATCACCAACTTTCACCCTTATCCCAAATCTGGCTCCCCATTGACTCTCTCTCTGAAGTCACCCATGTTTGAGAAAAAATGTTATGGTCGTGAGCTTGGCAAATCTCGTCCATGGCGTCTGTCGACGGGCGATGGTCTACAACTTCAGATTACGACAAAACGACGGAGTCTGACCAGAGAGATTCAATTTGGAGATTTTTTTACTTGCTGGTAAAGTGAAGGAAACGAACAGTTTCACCGTTATTCATCAAGCTGTGGCTCAGAGAAGAAGACAATGAATAGTGCTTTAAATCCATTCAGCAAGCCACGTTGATTTATTACTGAGGTGGAATAGTCAAGTTGGATAATCAATGGTTCTAAGCCAAGGGGGCCAGATTTGGGATTTAAATAAAAGTTGGTGATTTTTAATGAAACAAAAAAAGTTGGGGTTAGGATTGTTACTCGACTTAAAGTTGGACGTTTTTCTTGGAATTAGCTAACGAAAATACTAAACAGAAGGGGCATGCTTTCCTCTGCCAAGATGATAGTGACTCACATCCAATCTCCTTTTAACACATGGTACTGACCATATTAAATTATTTTCTTAGGCCAAAATAATGAACTTTAAATTATTTAGAATAACATGATCCTTGGCAAGAAATCAAACTCAATATTGGAGAAAAATGACAAGGGAGCATATTCAGCGTACATGGGGGCCAATAATTGGATTTAATTTTAATGGCAGTAAGATTTCATTAATTGATATGTTTTAATTTGTGCATTCAATTTGCATATTTTTTTAAATTTCGATATATAGAGAATAAAGTGGACATCTCCCTCATCGCATGCGGATGCCGTTCTCGTCGGAGTTGGTAGAAGTCTTGCGTCTGCCAAAAATCAAAGAAAATTGCAAATTGGCAGGTGCATCGGGACTCTAAAATAATTCTCTTTAAAAGAAAAAAAAAAAGGTTGCAATTTCTTATTTAATTTGCGTAGGTGAAGAAGCTCGTTGACATCGTTATTCGTCATGTCAAATACCAAGTCTAACTCGTGCCAAGTCTTTCCTATGACCACGCTACTTTGATCACAATTATGTGGTGCACTTAAATCCTAAGTTAATTCGAGTTGGTTCAATAGAGGATTATGTTTGACTAGCTAATTTGACCGCGATTTCTATTTTTACGATGTCTTGATAAGCTAGCACTGTGATGCTTTGCATTATTGACTGAGCCTATCCAATTTAATAACTCGCAACATACTATGTAAAAAGAGGCCGTTAAAAGAATATTCAAGAGCTCTTGCTTCTTATACTTGTTGGAGAGTAACTAGCACATCATACTACCAATTATTGGACCTTCTTACGAGGTTAACGCATTGCCATCATTATCTTTTGTTCGCCATCAAGATACTTGGCGTGTATGACCTTAATGGCGAGGTTTCAAAGGTCACAGAACCCCTTAAACTATGTGCAAGCAAGTTTAAGTTCATTGAAAGTCCTTAAATTTATCACGGGAGTGCTATTGAGTTCTAAAACTTTCAAAAAATTCAATCAAGTCCTAAAATTTATCAAGTTAATGCAATCAAATCCAAATTTTTTTCTATTTGGTGCAATAAAGTCCTAAAATTTGTTAGCATTTTCCGTTTGTCAAGTTGGACTGAGTCAATGGAAGGACCTAATTGTACTAACTTGACAAGTTTTATGATTTGATTGCATTTTTTTTAAGTTGCAAGGCTCAATTGCACTCTCATGACGAATTTTTAGACTTTCAGTATACTTATCCCTTACAAGTACTATATGCTAAGCCATGGCTTTAGCTGTCGATAAAGCGCCAGCCCAACACACCAAGGTTAAAAATAGCATCCTCTCCTTAATCACATAGGACTACGACACTATCCGTTGCAATACCACCGGAGAATCACGAGATTCAACTTTCGAAAGGAATACTCGACGTCAGTCATTTAAAGACGAGTCGATTCCGATGTAACCGGGAACAAAAATGTCATGCAAAAATTTCATTTTCAGGCATGATAACTATGGCTCTACTGTGTACTGTAACTGTAAGGCTTTTGATACCTTCCTTCCTGTAAATTGCATATAATCTAGAAGAGAGAAAAACTCATCCGATGGACCAAATCGAAAGAAAAACTCTCACATTAGGGAAGCAAGCAGCAAGAAGAGTCAATCTTGGGTTCTTGAACCTGTTGATCATGGAGAAGACCAAGCGGCCCCCGATAATTACCAAGCACACCCTAGTCCTTCCCAGTGAATTCCCACAACAGCAAGTGGCAAATGCGTCATTTCAACCGCCACTTTTCCCACAGTTTCCTCCCCCGATTTCGTCCTTTCTCCCCTCTGATCCCAGCGAGAGAGAGAGAGAGAGAGAGCGAGATAAGGTGGGTGAGCTCCCGTTCACACTTTGTATAAACCTCTCGAGCCAGCCTGGTGCTTCGCACACCCATTTCGCGACCGGCGAGTGACAGAGACTCCTCGCACACCCACACACACACTACGCATTTCGAGAGAGAGAGAGAGAGAGTGTGACAGAGAAGAGGAGACAAGACAGAGGAAGATCGTAATAGCTAGAGAGAGAAGATAGAGGAGGCAGAGGAAGCGGCGGCAGGGGTTCCGCGAGGCAAGCAGCTCGCGGAGATAATGTCGATGGAGGCGTCGGAGACGCAGCAGCAGGCGGCGGCGGCGGCGCAGCCCCCCCGGCAGCAGCTGGCGCAGCACCTGTCGGGGAGCCTGAGCTTCAGCAGCAACCTGTCCATCTCCGGGGTAGACGAGGAGATGTCGAGATCGGCCCTGTCCAACTTCAGGGCCAAGGAGGAGGAGATCGAGAGGAAGAAGCTGGAGGTCAGAGAGAAGGTCATGTCGCATCTGGGTCGCGTCGAGGAAGAGACCAAGAGGCTCGCCACGATTCGGGAGGTCAGTGCACGAAAAGAAGTCTTTAGCTTTCTGGGGTTTTCATCTTTTTGTTGTAGTTTTCTGCAGAATTAGCTCGATCTTAGATTTGAGCTAGATACTTCTGAAAAGATGAAGACCTGGGTTTGTTTTCTTAATAAAAAATCGAGCTTTTTGTTCGTGAATTTTGGTTTTTGAGAAAAGTGAAGTTCAAGAATTGTTGGATTAGGCTGAACTGAGATGTAGATTTCCACAAATCTCTCATTTCTTCTTTAATTTTTCTTTCCTCCCTCCTCTTTTGCTAGGAAATTACTTTAATTCAACATAATGATGCTGTTCTTTTTGTGTGTGTTTGTTGAAACCAAGGAAATTTCCTCTTTTTTCGTTCTTTTATTGACCTTTTGGGGCTCTGTTTAGTGTAGTTTTCTTCCCTTTGGGCAATGTATTTTCCAGTCTTATGTGGAATCAACACCAACATATACATGGCTTGACTGAAAAACATTACAGAAATTGATTTAGGAATGGGGTGTCTTTTGAGACCCTGTGAAGATCCTTTCACATCTCTGGAGTCCGAGTCAACTTGTGCCTCTGAATCTGGGTTTAATAATTGTAGTCCTAGCTATAAACAGTAAGGCAAAATTACAGTCTTTTTATTGGAGCTGGTATAAATCTAACATTCCTGTGGCTAACATCGATTGGCAATATACTAGGAACTAGAGGCATTGTCAGATCCAATGAGAAAGGATGTTGCACTCGTCCGAAAGAAGATTGATGCAGTAAATAAGGAATTAAAACCGCTGGGATACACCTGCCAGAAGAAGGTGATTCTCTCTCTTCCCATCCACATGCCATTGTTTCTGTGAAACTACAGATTCTTACAATTAATCCTTGTCTGGATCCAAAATGGGGTCGCTGAATCTTCTTGGTGTCCTGATTTGTCCCAGGAGAGAGAGTACAAGGAAGCCCTTGAGGCCTTCAATGAAAAGAACAAGGAGAAAGTACAGCTCGTTAACAAATTAATGGAGGTTAGTCCTGCACTTAAATCTTTATCGATTGATACTGTAAAGTATGTGAAAAGCAGAGCTCTTTTCGATATTTGTCCATCTGAGAAAATGTTTGTTTTTCTTTGGGCGCTTTCATTTTGCTCAGCTGGTGGGTGAAAGTGAGAAGATGAGGATGAAGAAGCTGGAGGAGCTGGCTAAGAGCATAGAAACCCTACAATGAGAGATAGCCTTGACGTTGATGACTGATTTGATTAGGTCTCCTTGTGATGATATGTATGTAAAATGGTGTTTAATTTCAATCATTAGATGGGTGCTTTTGGGTTTGTTGTATTCTTGATTTTTCTGTTGTCTTTGTTTGCGTTTTCTCTCGTTAGCATTTGATGTGTCTACAATTAACTAATTTAGGAAGGGATTAATCCCCAAAAAAGAACACAGATGCGCAGAACTAAACTGTCTATCAACTCTGCAGTGTCTTTTTTCTTCTTATTTTTCTGCTTGTGCTGAGGTTGGCTTGTCTTTCTGAGGAACCCATTCTTGGCCATCTTCTGTCGCTTTTATGTGTTGTGTACTTGGGGGATAAATTCAATGCAGGGGTCTTTTTCCTTCTGGTCAGGAAGTGTAAAGAGCCATATTGGGAAAGCTATTAGGAAAAGGATCCACAAAAGTAGTGAATACTTATCTCTATAATAATATACAGATGGGAAATTGCAATTCTAGAGTATCTGATGATTGTCAAGATAATTTAGCTTCTCATGATTACCTCTAGAGGCTAGAGCAGAGCATTTGGAAATCAGAATCTCTTGGGTAACGTTGTGGGTCAGAAAAAAGCTCTTTTGCATAGAATATTGCACAACAGGGGTGACAAAATAATCCATTTTAGCATCCATAAAGTGTGAAAATGAGTAATTTTGGTTAATCGAAGAAGGGCGTGGCAACTGTGGATGGACCAGGTCACAGGAAGGAGGATAAAAAGGTTGAGGAAGGCAACCTCGTAGAGTTCACCTGGGAACCCATGAAGCGCTTAGGTTTTACTGCAGAAGAATACATTGGGAGCAATAAAGAAGCACAATTACTCGTACCGGTTGTCACGGGGAATGATTACACCAAGGCAAATGCTAAAAAACACACTGTTCTTGAGCAACTGTAGAGAAGTACGTCGTCACGCCCGCTTTTTACCGTCCTTAAAGACTCCTTTTAACTTTCTTTCAATTCAAGGAATGAGGAGGAGATGCACCGAGTCAGTGCAGTGGCTCATGTGCGCTCGGCCCCCTCTGCTGCACAATAATTCTGCAAATCATGATAAGCAAGGGGCAGTGTGTATCACGTCAATACGAGTAATGATATAAGGATTGGCCTACAACAGTATTGGCATGCTGTGACTGCCAACTACCCATGCACACATTTAAAAGAACTATTAAAGTAAGAGTATTTATGTTTCTTTCGGTCATTTGAACCACACCTCGACTAATTTTCATAAATGCGCGCAGACCGCTTTACCCACTTTAGCGAAATAAGCTCCAGCCCTACAGAGATGCGTGCTTCGAGGTTAATCTAAATGGAAGACGTCGTGATTTGAACAAAAGTTGAACGAGAGGTTCTTTGTATCCACACTTAGCGGTTATCGCTTGGCCAATTTCATGGGGGTTGAGAAACTGTGGTTTTCATTTTTTTTAGAAAATATTAAAATATTGTCACATGGACGCCGGCCGGCGCCACGTCAGCCGGCCGGCGGCCACGTCAGCGCCGGCCGACCAAAAGGACTGAATTGGCTGGTTTGCAAAAGGTTTAGGACTGAATTGGCAAAAAAAAAGGTTTAGGACTGAATTGGCACAACTGCAAAAGGTATAGGACTTTTTTGATAATTTCCCCTGTATTTATAGGTTAACATCATCATTATGTTGACCCTTTTAAATATTACTTGTTACAATATAGGATCGATATTGAAATCGATACAAAATATCGAAGTTGTTGGATAAATTGAGGTTGAAATTTGAAGGGATCGTGCCCTTAGGATGGTAGCGGTGGTTGTGTTCAACTCTCAACAACCTGTAAGCTCATCAAAGAAAGAAGGAAAAGAAAGTCTCAACGACCCTAATTGCTGCAGATTCCCCTGAGCAAGATATCTAAATTTCTAATCTACATATTAAAATCGACTTTAGTACATTGAATGGTGGGTGTTCATTAATTAAAAAAAGTCTCCTTTTTTTATCTTTCAGAAATTTAATTAAAAAAATATCAGGAACCTTAATTTAAATATAAATATATCTAAATCTACGACATAAGACATATATTATATACGGAGAAGTAATTTTTTTTTTCTAATTTCATATTTTTCATTATTTTTGAAAGATAAGCACCAATGCAACGCATGAGTATTATCCTTTCCAAAAAAAAGTTCAAAGTTTTTTTTCCAGCGGAAGTAACGCTTTGAGAGAAAATCCTTTGAAATTACAATCTATAGATAAAAAATTTAATTCTGCTATAATTTTATAATACGTAGTATAATTGACAATCTATAATAATTAAGAGGTAGAAAATCTATCGGGGCAAACAGATATATCAAAATATATAAATCTATCATGATTGCCAATATATACAAAGTAAAATCGACTCCGCTCTACTCGATAGTACTTATACTATTTTTGCACCAGTTGAATGTAATGTATCATCCAAGAAATGATATCTTTATAAATTTATTTCTATGTTTTGATTCGTGTCCATTTGTTCTCATCATTTTACTTTCTTTGGTGAATTAAACTCAAGTAATTCTCTGTATATACCTTGCCACCCAAACCATTAGAGAGTTGTTGCTTAAAATGTTTGGCATAGACTTTTTTGATATGTCTGTGTTGTACGATGGACTTCAGAAAACTATTGCTCTGCGCTATCTCATGAACAGTCATATCCACTAGTGAGTGACCTTTAATTTTCTTTTTTTCCTTTTGGGCCAAGAGCGATCTTAAAAGTAAGTAGGGTATAGTCGGTGCTAACAAGTGAATTCCGAAAAAAACGTGACACATCCCGTCTTCCGGAATTGATCATGGAAGCGTGAATTTCATGGAATCGAAAAGAAATAAAGAAATTCAGAAACACGAGACCTGCGATGATTGATCCAGTCAGATAAGAATATTCTTGAAATACGTAAGAACTCTTTGTGAATTTTTTTAAGTCTATATTTTTCCACGAAGATCTATGTTATTAGCAGAGAACAATGCGGATGGCATTTTATTTTCCATGCATGGGAAAATTGACAAGTCGATGACAGTTTGCGAGAGTTGTGTACAATTTTCTTTTTTCTATTTATTCTAACTGTTTAAGTTATTAGGGAACGAGATGAATTAGATTCTATCTGATACCCGATCAAATTCTATGAATTAGTTGAAATTATCGTGTATGGTAGGCACGATGAACAAGTGCAAATGGATGCTTCCTCGGTGCAAAAGCTTGAACCAGAAGCTCTCGATTCATGCAATCTAGGAAACTTCCCCCCGGAAAGCACCAGTTGATGCCAAAACCAAATGGAGCAAAAAGAGGCTTTTTCCTTTGCGTAAGATTTGATGAATATCGAGCAAGAATCATTCTTTCTTGTCAATGAAGGGAAGTATAGGAACCCAATGGGTAGAACAAAAAGTAGCCTTGGGGAGGCAATCTGCAGTTCCAGGAAATGGCTTCCACGGCATTAATGCACTCATCTTCTTGCATGACATTTAGATTTCGCAATTTCGAACGGTGTAATGCTCAAACATTTTTAAAGATTTCGCACGATCCATCTGCATGGATCAGGCCTCCCGAAAGAGTATTTTAAGCGATCACCTTTTAGGGTGGATCTATCGTGGATCAACAGTATTACTACACCACGAGCTCTCTCCATGAGCATCACGCATTTCTCCTCCACTTACGACATTGAAAAATCAAATAGCCTAGACTTGCATTTCGAGAGTAGGGTTTCAGAGGCGATATCGAGGAGGTGACTCGAAAGGATATATCTCCTTAAAGGATACATCGAGAAAATTCAAGTGATCTGTTACTCGTTCAAAAGATCAGCTCTAGTCCCTATCATCCCCAACTTTTTATGTACTTGCGAATGAAAACTATTCTAATAATTGTTATTGAATTTGGCCCCCCAAAAAGAAGTTATTGCTAGGCGCCAGCAACAATTATTGGCTCAACATCGCATATGGAGAACGTGGGGTCAGGTAAGTTAAAATAGGCCAAGGCGCAGCATGTCTTTCTTTCAACTGCGCCAGAATTTCAGATTCAAAGAGATGGATTGATATATTTTGTCCATAGCTCAAAACATGAGGGAAAAAAAGAGAGATTTATGAATGTCTGCTGCAAACTCTACATCTGTCTTAGATCCAAACGAGGACGGATATGAGACCAAGCCTGGCCCCCAACTATTGATTGAAATTTAAGGTGCGTTTATTTCAAAAAAAAAGAATGCTGTGGACAATTTCTTAGAAGGGAAAATAATACAAATGATTCCTGAATTTTGATCTAATATGCAATGTGATTCATGAACTTTTAATTTGTTTAATGTGATTTTTGAACTTTAGCACAACGTACAATGTCGTCCGTGAATTTTTAATTTGTTCAATGTCGTTCATGAACTTTTGATACATGCTCAATCTAATTCCTATACTATATAAAAGTGCTCAATGTTATCTCTGAACTTTTTTAATAGACGAATGACATCGAATATTTTCATATGTCTCAAGGACTAACTTGAACATATACCAAAGTCTAAGGACCATATCGAACAAATTAAAAGTTTAAGAATGACATTGCACATCGGACTAGAGTTCAGGGACCGCATTGCACATTGGGTCAAAATTCAGGAACTATTTGCGTCATTATCGCTTCTTAGAACGATTATTTATACTATTTGAAAAGATTAGTTAATGGAAAATATTTTTATTATCCACAATGATATAGGCCTAAACATTTCCATTGATGATCGAAGTATTTTTCATTTACTTATTTTTGTGAGCGATATAAATGATAATTTTAGAAAAATGTTCCTCAAGTCATTGATTTTCTACAAAAATGCATTTGTTTCGCTGGAAAATCATTTAGAAAGGATTTTTCTAAATCCGGTTATTTACACCATTTAGGAAAATGAGTTAACAAAAAAATAATGTCATTATTAATAAAAACGTTTGGACATATGTAATTGCTAATAATATTTTTTATTAACCCATTTTCTTAAGCAATATAAAAGGTCAAAGTTAAAGAAATTCTAATTATTACTTTTTTACGAAACAAACGCAACCTGAAGATTTTTTCTTTTTTTGGCTTATAAACGAAACTAAGAAGAGTTGTGAGAGGATTAAGTGCAAAAAAATGAAGGCACCCAATTGAAAATTTAACTTGTGTGCCCCATTTATGTGATCCCTATATTTATGAATCACGTGAGATACCCATAAACCGACGGCTCATATCTATCATTATCAATGCTCGTCATAATACCATTGGAGTAATGTATTCTTCTGTTACTGAAACCTAATGGAATTGATGTTCTGGAGAA